GGGCCGAACATAAGATCACGTTGATTGTAGAGTCACAGAGTGGGGAATACCATTGTGAAGCTACAAACAAACTGGGGACAATGAAATCAAACCCTGTCAACATTAACGTTACATGTGAGTATATTATCATTATTATTTTACAGAATAACTGCTGCCAATTAGAATGAAGAAAGGATTCAATCTTGTGTTTCAGACCGGCCCGAGGTTGAGGTGTCCATGTCCCCTACTGCCACAGTTAGACAAGGAGATGCGATGACTTTGACATGTCGTGTGAGGAGAAACAACCCGGTACCTCACACTTTCACCTGGTTTAAGGATGAGAAAGCCCTCAGCGAGGAGAGGACGGAGCGGTACGTCGTCCAGAGCATCCAGCCAACCACAGCTCTGAGAGCTCTACAAATGTTGTTGTTGAAGTGGAGTGAGGAAGTGAATATACCGCCTCCATCGCCGTAGAAAGCAGGCTTTATTATTATTATTATTTCCTAATCATAATTTCATTCTTTCTTTCAGATGGCCCGAGGAGGACAAACATTTCCATCAGTGAAGATGATGAACGTGTGGGAGTTGGTAAATCTCTGACATTTTATTGTCAGACTGAGACCAATCCCTCCCCGCATGGATACTCCTGGTACCGAGACAATGAAACCATGGAGATTGACTCCTCACGGTGGAAGTACGAGACAACCAGAGATAACAAACGAACGCTGGTCACAGTAGAGAGAACAGATGAAGGTTGTTATGTTACGCCCCGGTAAAAGAGGAAATATGACAAACGACACGGACACGATGCAGCTCAGTGTCGGCCATAGTTGTAATGAACATGAAAAGCATAATAACACATTTATACACTCAGTATCGCACTTAAACATGTTATTTTCCCTTTGCGGTAATGTCTTTATAAGAGCTTATACAATTAAGACAAATACAATTCGATCAGTTATGGCTCCATATTACTCAAATGACCTGAACCAGTCGTTAAAGTGAGTTACCAAAATATCAAATATGTTTACAACATCGTAAAACAACATGGGAAAATAACCTTGAAAAAAATACAAGACTCTTTCCTTTTCACATTAAACACTCTCTCTTTAGCTTATGCGATACTAACACTTTTACCTTATCCTTATAATATAAAACAAATACACACAGAGAAACCGGCACTTGCGGTGTTCTATTACGTCCCGCTTTGAGCCCAGCCCACGGGCTACGCCACGTGCTACACAGCTAGCATGCACGCTACGCTAGATGAACACTTCTTCACGTTTAGCTGCTAGATGATTACCATCATTAACATCTACTCCCGCATGTTTCTTACAGTATTGAAACACATATATACATTGATCAACCCTAATACAACACTCGTTCTTACCTGTAAAAGAGGAAATATGACAAACGACACGGACACGATGCAGCTCAGTGTCGGCCATAGTTGTAATGAACGACCCTAGCCACACGCTCCGTTCATAGGCAAAACGAGGCATTAGCAATCGCTCACAGATCGTCCCTGAATGAGGCATTAGCAATCAATCTGATTGCACTGATACCTAAACTTAAACCACCGAACAATGAATCACTGATCTACAGACCATTAGTGCCTTTTAACTTTTACCTTTTTATGAACATTTTAAGTATATTTTACCTTATATTAACCCATTCAATGCAACAATAATACATCATTCTTATCATCCTTACATACTCCCCTACAACACAGATGTCGTCCCCGACATCCCAACCAAAAGATGGGTAATGATGAAGGCAGGTTAAACAGTACACATTATTTCCAGATCACCCTTGTAACGGTTCGTACACAGGCACACAGCTTATTCAAAAGTCCAGGAGTGCATAGTGTAAGTGTTAGCGCTTGGCTTGTTCCCCAGTCCATCAATGCGTGTGTAGCGAATGTGCAAGTGTGTTTCAAAGTCAGTACCCTGGTACCACGACAGGCTGGTAGCCAAAGTGCTGTACTGGAGTCATCCATGCACCTGCCGCTTGCATGGTTCTATAAGGTGCTGGTGGGTACCACTGCATGGCTTCACCTGTGAGTCCAGTGCTGTAACAACCAGGAGTGCCCAACTGGTCATACGTGAAGAATCTTGGAGGCCGTCTGTCCCTGACCGGACGCTGATATCGCTGTTCATGTCCCCAGTGAGCTCCACTCTGAACAGGTGACTGCACTACGGACGGTCTCTCCTCCAGAGCAGTGTCCTCGTGAGCAATAATCTCCTGCTGTTCCGATGTGTCCCTCTCTGTCAGTGTATCTCCACTATCCTGTTCCAACTGGTTTTCCTGTTGCTGAGGTTCAGCATCCTGTGAAAGTTGTTCAGCTTCCTGACCGGCTGAATCTTCTTCGGGCTGTATCACAGGGAAAGGCTGATCTCTGGATGGATAGTATCCATAGTCCTCTTCATCACTATCCTCAACATCTGCATCTTGGTGTTGTTGCTCCCTTCCCTTGCGGGTCCCTGCTGTGATTTGTCTTTTTGCTTTAGCTGGTTTCAATTGTATTTCCAGTGGCAAATGGTCACACGGCAAAAGCAGGTTACGATGCAGTACCCTACGTCCTCTCGCCTTGCCTTGTTCTGATATTACTTCATATATGGGCATGTCTTTTCCCACCTGACGGATAACTTTGTGAACGCAATCTTCCCAGTGATTTCGGAGCTTCCCTGTTCCGCCCCTGGGTGTCAAGTTTCTGACGAGAACCCGGTCACCCTCGTGCAGTACAGAACTCCTCACTTTGCTGTCGTAGTTTCTCTTACTCTTTTCAGCACATTTTTTTGCGTTTGCCGTTGTAATCTCATATGCCTCTTGCATCTGTTGTTTCCACCTTCTCATGTACTCCTGATGATCGGCGGTTCCAGCCTCTTGTGTCAAGCCAAATAGTAAGTCCACAGGTAACCTCGGTGATCTTCCAAACAAGAGGTAGAAGGGGGAGAAACCTGTGACTTCACATCGAGTGCTGTTGTATGCGTAGATGAGCTTGGGCAGTGACTCTCTCCAATTTGACTTCTGCCTTTCTGTGAGCGTTCTAAGCATTTGCAGCAGTGTTCTGTTCAGGCGTTCCACCTGTCCGTTGCCTTGTGGGTGGTACGGTGTTGTTCTTGAGCCCATCACTCCACAATTCTTCTTCAGCTGTGCAAACAACTGGTTTTCGAATTCTCCCCCCTGGTCATGATGGATCCTCAGGGGGAACCCGAACTTCATTGCATAATCATTAAATATCTTTTCCGCTACAGTTTTGGCAGATTTCGACATGGTGGGGTAAGCTTGTGCAAAGCGTGTGTAATGATCCACGATTACCAATATATATTCATATCCACCTTTGCACTTATCTAGATGGAGAAAGTCAATGGATACAAGCTCGAATGGTTGAGTGGTGACAATCGGTGAGAGTGGAGCTTTTGTTTCTCGACAGGGTTTTTTTTGTTTAAGGCAGGTACAGTTTTGGGTGACATAGTGTTCAATCTCTCTCTGCATGTGTGGCCAAAAGAAGCGATCCCGGACGAGTGACGTTGTGCGTTCCACACCTTGATGTCCCATGTCATTGTGGAGCTGTCTCAGAACTGTTGACTTGAATATTTCAGGGAGGACCAGTTGGGTCCTGGTTGCAGTCTTTCTATGAAGTATTCCATCTCCATCAAAGCAGAGTTTCTCCCAGTCACGGAGGAGACACCTGCTCAGTGCACCGAATGCTTTTAACTGCTGTCCTACAGGTCTTTCATTTGACTGTTTACAGGCGATGATGGGGCCAATATCTTTGTCATCTTTTTGAGCTTGACGGAGAGCTGCTCTTGAAAGGGGCGTAGGCATGTCCTCATCCGTTTCTATACACTCAGCAGCCATAATGGACCAAACAGTGTGTGAAACATTCACTTCCACAGCTTGTACTGTAGTTTGCACAGAAGGGGAGGACATTTCCTCTGAACACTCTTCAATCATTGTCTCTATGTCACAGGGCATTCGTGAAAGGCCATCCGCATCACCATTTTCTCTGCCTGGGCGATATTTTATTGTTATGTCGAAGTCGGCTAATTCAGCAACCCACCTCTGTCCAGTTGCGTTCAGCTTGGCTGTCGATAACACATAGGTTAGTGGGTTGTTGTCCGTATACACAGTGCAAGATGAGCTGATTAGGTAGTCTCGAAATCGCTCTGTAACGGCCCACTTCAAAGCCAGAAATTCAAGTTTCCCTGAATGTAGATGGTAGTTTCTTTCTGCTTTTGTCAGTGTTCGAGATGCATAGGCTATTACACAAAGCTTACCCTCTTGCTTTTGATATAGCACTGCACCCAAGCCTTGCTGTGAAGCGTCTGTATGTAGGATGAACGATTTGTTGAAGTCTGGGAATCCAAGTATTGGTGGCTCAACCAGGCAGTCAATTAATCCCTCTAATATGTCTTGATGTTTTTCAGTCCATGTGATTGGTTTGTGTGACGGTGTCCCTTTAAACTTTCCTTTCACTGCTTTTGTCTTGGTGTTCCGGTCTTTCTGCTTGTCTGGGCCAGGGTCTAATTCCATTAGGGCATAAAGAGGGTTGGCTATGCGGGAGAAGTCTCTGATATACTGTCTGTAATAACTCAGTAGCCCCATGACTGCTCTCAGTTCTCCCACCGTCCGTGGCCTCTTTTCCTTTAGAGCCCTAACAGCCGCAGTATCAGCTGGATCCATCTTACTACCCTCAGCAGACACGATGCGCCCCAAGTAGCGGACCTCACGCTTGAACACTACACACTTGCTTGGTTTCAACTTTATACCGTACTGCCGTAGCCGCTGTAGCACTGTTCTCACATTCTCAACGTGTTCCTCAAAGGTTCTACTAAAGACCAAGGTGTCATCTAAATATGGGATACAAATCTCATCCCTCAGCCCCTCCAAGCATTCTTCCATACAACGTTGAAAGGCAGCTGGGGCATTCATCAGGCCAAAGGGAATTCTGATCCACTCATAAAGACCCCATGGTGTGACAAAAGCGGTTATGGGTCTGCTCTCCTTCGTCATAAAGCCCTGATGGTACGCTTTCCCTTGATCTAACAGAGAGAACCAACAGTTTCCTCCGAGGCCATCCATTATGTCTTGCACTCTGGGGATAGGCTGGCGGTCAGGGAGGGTCTTTCTGTTCACTTCGCGAAAGTCTATGCACAGTCGGAGACTCCCATCCTTCTTTCGAACGCACACGACTGGTGATGCATACGGTGAATTAGATTTCTCCACCCAACCCTGAGCGATGAGATCATTCAA